TTACTGACTTCTTATACGCGAGGAAACTGTTTTTACTTTCTGCGAGAGCCTTTCGTAAATGTTCCTGTTCGAGTAATTCATTTTTTATATCTCTACTTTGTCTACTTATTGAGTTAGATTTTGACATGTAAGAATAACAATTGGGGAAAATGGTTGGAATCGAACCTGGTTGCAACTTTAGATGATTTAAAGGAACCTTCAATGTTTTACCGTTTTTTTTTGTTATAGGAAGTACTTATCCACATTATACTATCTTGTCAAAAATGGTGTAGACAAATTCTGCTGTTTTTCGTGGGCTGAAAATTGTCTCGAGGTATTGCTCGCAGCCACTGTTTTAACAACCCATCGTCTTTTGGGAAACTGAACACACTCACTGTTGATTCGCCACTATCATTTCCATTGCACTTGGGTACACAGCACTTTACTTTACTTACTTTACTTGTACACAGTACATTTTTACAATATTTATTTTAAAAACATAGATATAAAACACTCAAAACACACTTTGAGGCTTAATTTTAGAGCCTGTCCATTACAAGCCTAATAAATCACCACCAAAATGCAAGCACGTGTTGTATAAATTAGCGTCTTCTTGGCTCTGTTCGGCCTACTTGCAGTCGGAATGGACGTTCCCATGTCCATCTTCTGTGAAGTTTCTTACTGAAGCAGCTGTAGTAGAAAGTCCAACAGGGTCTCACCCCGGGCATTTCTTCCTCCGATTTATCTGTTGTCAAACCTATTTTTGCATTGAAGTACTTCCGCAAATTATGGTGGACCATGTTTTGTGCTGTTCAAGGCCAATGCCACATTCTCATAGAAGACGTCCGCCTCTTCTTCTGTATTGTGTAATGTGTAATTTTGATACTGTATTTTGTGCTCAGTTTTATTACAAGGTAGGCCACTCTGGTAGGAATTTTCTTCCGAGAGTAGTGTTCTCACATTGTATGTTACGATGGTCTGGCGGTGTTGGTATTCTTCCTTGAGTCACTTTGGTGTTAGGATGTGTTGATAGCGATCTTTTGCCTCCTCCAGAATCCTTGATGCAGACTCCGACAGGGGTGTGGGAGTTGCCAGTGTGTGGCCTACCCATCTGGGGTTCACTTCCATTTTCACTCCAAGTCTGGATACCTGGCGACGGCTCATGCTCCTCATTGCCGCAGAGGAACAACTGCATGAGCTGCGCATTGGTATGGAGAGGCGGAAGTGCAGAAGTGGTTACACCTCCAGGCACGACGGAACTGAAACCCTGTTCACCAGTCTCAGGGCCCCCAAAAGTTGTTCCAGGCGACTACAATTTCTCTACCAACTGCCAATTGTACCGCTTCGTTCATAGTCTAATCGTAGCTTTGTGGGGGGTGGTATTATAGAATTATATGAGAAATTCTATATTATATTCTATACTGTTATCACACTGTTAGTTTAAAATGTTGCTGAATCGAATCGGGTAAATTTTCAGATCAGAATGAGTTCAGCCAACATTATTGAACCATCTGGACAAGGAGACACATCGCTAAAGTTCACCGCCGGTCTGATTATGTCAGTGCCATTCGAGGCCGAACTGACGCACCTACTGGATCCTTCCAGGATCCGATTGAAGATTAAGTATCCAGACCAGCGAACCCAAGTGGTGGTGCCGAAACCCACTCACCTGAAACCTCTTCACTATGACACACTTAATAAAGGTAATAAAAATTCGCTCTTCTCATCATCCTGCCACATTTCTGTATGTGGTTAGAGCCACCTATTGGGTACAACATTCGACTGCTCAGCTCGGTGTTGGTGTCGCATCAAGTCTGGTCAGAGGCGTGCAATGTGGAGATGAATATTGCGCTTTGCGTGCCTGAGGCGGACATTGGCAAACGGAAGTCCAGCATGGACTCCAATCCCACCATGCTGGATTTGTGTGCGCCAGTAAGAGTCAGCATTGCGCCCAAACCCATCAAGAAAACTCTGTGAATGATGGCGATGTTTTGTCACGTGGGTCAAGAGGTAAGTAAGCTATTTTTCCACTTCTGTACAATAAAGTAACTGAGTTTTACTACTTTAAATGAAACTGATTTTAATTTTCAACGCCAAACTAGTAAAACTCGGTTACTTCATTGTGATTGATCGAAGGTTTCAAAGCTAAACAATAGTAATTTTAATGTGGTTTTGGCAATGGGCGTTTTTCTCTTTAAAATTGCAAATTGAGTGACGAAACGTGTGGATTAATGTTTCATTTTTGCCAAAAAACACAGTTGCTCATCAGTGGGTCCAAGTGCGATATCTCGTAAAATATTAATTTTAGAGAAAGTTGTTTTCAATTCGTTTTTGGTATCTCACGGTGACTGTCTTAATATCCTTTTTCAAAATGCCGGGTGGTTAAGATTTTTTTAATTGCGCTTTTTTATAAATGGCTTCAGTTGGGCCATAAAGTAATACGAGATGTACAGAGTAGGCCTGGGTGTAACACTGTGTCGCATGGCGCTTTTGTGTTAACACCACGCTTGATGGGTCAATGCGCTATAATACCTCGCCTCTTACGGTGTAACACCTTAAACCATTTTTTCCTCCGATTTAAAACTGAACACGCTTTGGATGAAAATTCGCAGGTTCTTCCTTTACTTCCCTGAGACATTTTGAGTGACTTTTGCCATTGAACTGGCCAGAATTTTCAGCTTTTAAAAGTGCATTTGATCGAAGAAAGCTGCTCGTGTCTTCGGTGCTTTAAATATTCAAGAAGCACTTAACAATGTATGTTCTTTGGGATCTTCTCATTTTCCCAGAATAAAAATCGATGAAAAACTGAGTACGCTTTGCAGGGAAATTCGCAGGTTTAATTATTTTCTTCTTTGAGACATTCGAGCCGTTTTTGTCCTTTGAAATGACCACAGATTCCAGTTTTTTTTAAGTGTCTCTGATAGAGGAAGGCCGTGTTTCTTCTTCTATTTTTTAAAGACTAAAATACACAAAATAAAAAGATACAAATACCTCAATTTTTTCAAAGCACTGTTAAAAGCAATATCGACGAATATCGAAAAAAAACTAAGCAAACTTAGTAAAAAAATTCTAAGGTTTTCGTCCTTTTTCACTGAGGCATTTGGACGACTTTTTTCCATTGAACCGGCCACCAATTTCCGTTTACAGAAAGTGAAATTTAAAGTTAGAAAGTGATTTGATTGAAGAAAGCCACGCTTGTTTTCCATGCTTTAAAGATTCTACATTAGTGGAAAACTCAGCATGGTTTGTCATCAAAATTGGGTGAAAAAAGTCTGAATTCTTGAAAGTACTTGAAAAGCCAATTTTTTTCGGGTATTTCCATTTTGTCCAGAATAAAAATCAATAAAAAACTGTTCACGCTTTGCATGAAAATTATAAGGTTTCTTTCTTCTCTTAGAAACATTTGAGCGACGTTTTCCCATTAAACTGGTCACAATTTCAGCTTCTCAAAATTGTCTTTGCTTGTAGAAAGCCGCACTTCTTCAATGTTTTTAAGTCTTAAATTGACGGAAAAACTAAGCACGATTTAAACCCGATGTCAAACTGAGCACGCTTTGGATGAAAATTTGCAGGTTCTTCCTTTACTTCTCTTAGATATTTTGAGTGCCTTTTCCCATTGAACTGGCTACAATTTTAAGCTTTGAAAAATTGCATTTGATTGAAGAAAGCCGCTCTTGTCTTCCGTGCTTTAAATATTCAAGATGAGTGGAAAATTTAACATGTTTTTTGAAGAAAATTTGTCAAAAATGTCTCACTCTGCCACAGCACTTAAAAAAGTAATTTCTTTTGGATTTTCTTCGTGCATCCATAATGAAAATCGATGAAAAACTGAGCCCGAGTATGAAAATTCGCACGTTTATTTTTTTCTTTGAGATATTTGAGCCGTTTTTAGCCTTTGAAATGCCCACAGTGCATTTGAAAGAGGAAAGCCGCGTTGGTTCTTCCATTATTTGAAGACTTAAGATGATTGGAAAGCTCGTTACTTTTTCTTATGAAAAGTCATGGAGAAATTCCTCAATTTTTCAAAGCACTTAAAAAATCAAATTGTTCTGTTTATTTTCAGAAAGAAAAACGATAAAAAACTAAGCAAACTTAGTATACAAAGTCTAAGGTTTGCTTTCTTTTTTCTCTGAGGCATTTGAACGACTGTTTCTCATGGAATGGGAAATAAATTTCGGTTCTTAAAAAGTGCAATTTACAGTTAAAAAGTAGTTTGATTGAAGAGAGCCACGGATCTTTTCCATGCTTTAAAGATTCTTCATGAGTGGAAAACTCAGCACCTTTTTTGATAAAAACTAATCAAGAAATGGCACAATTCCTCAAAGCACGTAATTTCTTCTGGTTTTTCCAATTTTTTTTCGATTGAAATTGGGCGAAACAGTCTGCACGCTTGCGGCAAAAAATCAAAATTTTTCTTCATTTTTTGTCTTCTTTGAATGCATTTGATTGAAGAACGGCCGCTTGTACTTTTTGTAGCTGCGTTTTTAAAGACTCAAAATGGCCAGAAAACTTCACTTTTTTGGATAAAAATTAGCAAAGACGTTCTCAATTCGTCAATAAATAATTCAATATGCCATAAGTTAAAAATTGAGTTTTTTGCCATTTTGGGTTTGTTTTCAAAATTTATTGTTTAATTTATGTAAAGTGAAATAGAACAAACAAACATTTGCTTTTGGTTTCATGTGAACACGTAGCCGGTTGAATGCAGTTGGAAAGATGCAACTTCGGGAGAAAAGAAGAACCCCAGAAAATCAATCAATCGATCCTAGAAACTGTTTTTTTAGTATTTGTCTAAGTAATTAGAAAATTGCAAACTCTTCAAATCAAACATCGTACACAAAGTATAATAAAAATTCGGCAATAAATCTTAAAATAATATTTGAAAAAAATAACAAAATAAAAACGGAGAAACTAGACCAGGATTTACTCAAAACTAAAATAAACTAAACTAAACCCAATCCAATGCTTATGCGGTAGTGCCCGGGATGGCACTTGAGAACCGTTTGCTGTTCTTCAGGGGCACGTGAAATTGGGTTTCGACCCGGAGTACTTAGGGTAAGAATCCGGACTCAGTGAGATTCAAGAGAGAAAAAATGGTTTAATGCTTGTTGTTTGTTTGGGTTAGCTGGTTGTACCGCGATTGCCAACTGTTTCTGAAAGCATTTTTCCTTTCCCTCAAAGGCTTTTTGGCCCCACTTCCAAATCACAGAAAGACGCGTGTCTTTGGAGGAAGGTGTCTTGCAACGAAGGAATTTCTTGGTTCGGACCTCAGATTATACACATGCATTTGTTTACGTTTTTTCGATGGGAGCAACACTGGTTTACATTCTATATAAAAGAAGTCACTAAAATAACAGCGTTAAAATTTTAAATAAAAAATGCATGAGAATTTAAGGTGGTAATTACAAGAAAACATAATGAAGCCTTCATCATGACAACACCGCAAATGAGGTAAACTGGTAGTAAACTCGTTGGACTCGTAAATACAGTAATTTATCGGGTTTTTGTTGCTAATAAACCGTGATTACGCTCAAAAGAAATCGTGAGAAGTGTTCATTTGCAGGAAAATCCAAAAATTTTGCTATCTTGCACATTTATCAACAGGAAACAGTGGGGTAAACTATTCTGAATATACATGCCAAGAGTCATATTTCATCCCTTGGCTCTTTGAATCGTAGCCATATGCTTAAAAGTTTAAACATAGGTATAATGTAGAGATGGAGGTCAGAAAATCCAAGAACCTTTTATGATTACAATAAATCGATTAATACAGATGGCTAATGGCCAGGCGAGTTGCTTTTCGGGTTAATTCTTTGACATTATATCCATCCGTACCTACTTTTAGTATTTTTATTTCTACCACCTCAATTCAATGTTGCTCCCAAACAAATCGAGATTTATGAAGAATGACTAGCTTTGTCTACCGATGGTCCAGGCGGCCAAAAAGGAATATTGAAATTTTTTTATAAAACGATCCATGGTTTATTATCCTTCGTTCTACACGCACCTACTTTTCAAATTCGCATCTTTTGAGGAGCAAAAATTCATATCGCACTTTGAACTAGAGGTGCGCTAAACGGTTATTTTCCTGGAACAGGTTACAACGTTGCAGTTTCACTTTGGTGTTCGGTTCCGAAATGCGGCTCAAAAGTAACATGTTACTTTTTTAAATTTTCATTAAAAATTAGCAGTGATGATACTGGTAGAAATAGTGATGATAAATAATTCTTTACTTTATTAAAAAAAAGTTTTTAGCACTGATAAACTAACAATAGTATACTCAAAAATCAAAAACATGGGCCACAAGTAACTACTGAAAGGAAAAAAGTGATAAAAAAATCGAATGGTTTAAATAAAATATAAAATACGTTTTACATGCGAAAATGTTTAAAAAGCTAATTTTCATTTAAAAATGAAGTAATATTTAAGAATAATTTGTGCGTATGCTTTTTACCAAGTCTATTTCTTCGCTCGTTTATGATAGCACCCGCTATGTAAAATAATCTCTCGCATGGAACAAAAGTACTAATATACCTGTGTTTTCGTATGAAACAAGTTTGTCAAAATCTTGAAAAATGTAATAATCTTCTTGTCTACCTTTTGACTGAACTTCTTCTGATTGACGGGGCATCACAGTTTTTGTAATAGCATTTGAATTACTTACGCGTGTTATTAAGTCAATAATAACATAAAATAATCCACATTAACAGTAATACTTATAGACTAAAAATGCTGAATTATGTAATCACCGAAACTAAACAATATTTCGCTGATCTGACCGATTATGGTTCCTGGCGATGCTGCAGCTGGACCGATGGCTCGACGGTGTTGCATCGGTTCTGTGCTGTTGCGAACGACTTTTTCGCGTTTATGAGACGGTTCCAAAAGCAAGTGGTTAAATTGGCAAAGTGTAACCGTTACGGTTACACGTCTGGAACACTGTTATTTGAGCGGTTACGTTAAATGCCGACCATCCCTACTTTGAACGCACTAATGAGCAACTATGTTTATGGATATATTTTGAGAATTGGTAGAAAACAACAATTTAACACGTTGAACCATTATGATCATTTTTGGTTTAATTTCATTTGTCATTAGAATTTAATATTTTTTATTGAAATATCTAAATTAGATGGTTTAAACTTTTCTATTACAAAATTTCAGAGGATTTAAGTTATATAATGTTTTTATTTTCCATCAGACGTGCCAATCAGCTGCCTGCCCAAGACGACTTAGTTGTTTATCCATATCAATATCAGGGTGGGAATAAATTGGATGAATTCAAATAGATTTTGTTGTTTCCTTTAATGAAATGCGACTTGGGTGTTGAAGGGGTTCGATTACCTGTGAAGTTTACCTCTTCTGCTGTGAAAGATTTCAAAAGTGTATTTTTTCTGTGTGAAGGTTAAAATTGAATTATAAAGATGGAGATTAGGATTAGTGATGAGGATAATCGTGTTGTTTTCCTAATTGACCTAATATTGGGTTAGCGAACCTCGAAATTTACAGGATTTTCTGTTCGGATGGTACCGACGACGAAATTCTTGTCTCTTTGAAAGTAATTATGTCAATATTGCGAAAAGTTGGTAAAGAGATACAGGTTTTATCGCACGTTTTTCAACAAATTTAAAAATGTTATTTTACCATTCGGCATTAGAGTCTTTTCATTAGAGAACTTTTTTCGGTAATAAATATTTTTTTTCGAAAGTTTGGACACTGAGTTCGAATTTGTTTTACTCCCTTGCTGTGACCACTATCCAGTTTGAGGCTGAAATAGTTTTTACAGCTACTTCTTTGGGCTTTTGGGGCTTTTGAAACTTTAAAAAAATCTCGACAGTTAACGAAGTTATGGGCAAAAGAGTGGAGGTACGCGCAAATAGAATAGTCGAACCCTTGCCAACATTCAAGGTTTATCATGTCCCAAACCGTTGCCGATGTAGATTTTTGTCAAGACAGCTTAACTCTAGCGAATGCCCGTGGAAACCTTGAGCGATTTTTTTTTCAAATATTTTCAACAGTGGGGGAGTTATGGGCAAATAAGTGCGTAAACAATGTGAGTGGCAGTTTAAGTCGATCTAAATTCAGATTCCTATTACTCCGAAACCATATACGGAACCATGTTAATGGAAAGTGGAAGTCAGTATAAATTCGACTTTTTAGCGAAAATTTTGCACATTTGCGATTTTCAAAAAAAAACAAATTTGTTTTTTTATTTATTGTAATTTTTTCTAAAAACCATTTAATGGCTTCTAAAAATGAATTTTAGGGTTAAAACAATTTTGGTACGCCGCCAACCTTGTAGCAAAAGAGCGTGTTGCCACGACCAACCAGCGCTTCAGATCTTGGTCTAAATTCGACTATTAAGAGAAAAATGTGCCCAATTGCGATTAAAAAAAAAAAAGAATTGTACATTTTTTTTACGATTGAGGTGCTTGTAAAAATACATTTTCGGGTTAAAAAATCCTGTTGCGCAGCCAAACTTGTAACGAAAAATCGAACTTTCAGGAACAGCCAGCCTTTGAAAATTTAAACTGGCCCTGAAACAACTTGTTACGCCAAGTTTATGGGCTTTTTAACGAATTTCTGAAAAATCTTGATAACTGGCCGAGTTACAGGGTAAAGAGTGGAAGTATGTGCAAGTTTGAGAGTTTTACTCTTGCCAATACTCAGAGCCCATTTCAAGCTAAATAGAAAAAAATGTACGGTTAGTTGACCATAAACGAACAGAATAAGCGAAGATAAAAATCTACAAATTAGATATTTTATTATTTTTACAACAGGTACCTACATCTAACTTCATTTTACACAGATATTAACAGTTGAGCGGAAGGCAAGGTTGCTCATTCATAGTCATGCGGATCGAAGATGTCGGACATTGTCGGGGACATTTTCGAACGTCCCGCAGGATTCGTATTAAATTTGCCGATGTCTGCCTCAAACAAAATATTGTTGATGGCATGTTCCACTTGCACACGCACTTGTTGCGTGTAACTTCTGAGCTTATTTGCCACGTGTGCCCCATAAGTTGCACATGGATCTTCGAGCCGAGCGCTCAGGGAACTGTTGAAACTCTTCTCGTCCAATGTAGTGTCGTTAATGGGCTTCGGAGCAGCTACTGAGGGCCGAAATGTGCGTCTCTTTGCTACAATCAGTTTCTCGCCACTCTCCTCCTCTGGATTGTCTTGGATTTCCACTTCGATTATTTCGGAATTTCTAAAATGATGCTGTTCCTGAAACAAAGTGTTTCTTAATCTCTGTCAACTACATTCACAATGAGCAATAGAAAATAGTTGAAAAAGTTAAACTTAGTATTTACCATTTCTGAATCTAGCGTGGTCTCTTCGGTCTCTTCCTTGTATAATAGAAACTGCATTCGCTTGAAGGCGAACCATCTTGAATTATAAATGGGAGCTGCAATTAATATGTCTGAGTTAATTATTAGTTGTAGTTAATGTCCCGAAAGTAGAAAATTTATAACGTGGTTTTTGAAATTTTAGTGAATTTTTGAAGTCGACTTGGAATTATCAGGATTGTCTTTAAAAAATCGTTATGCAAAAACTGGACTAAAGGCAAAACGTTTTACACAGCAGTCCATGGAAAGGACTTTTCTTTATATGCCCTACTACCTGCAAATTCATACAGTAGTTTTTGGAATTTAGGCGAATTTTTTAACTCGAACCAGAATCACCCGCTGTCTGTTTTTAAGAGTTAAAGGAGTTTAAAAGTAGCTTTGTAAAAACTCAACAGCACAAGTAAAAACTGTTTATGTACTAGTCAATAGGAGACTCTCTATCGTGCATCAACGGCATCAACAAAGTCTGCAAATTAGTAACGTAGTTTCTTGAGTTTTGGGGATTTTTTGAGTTTACTTGGGGTTTCTGTATGTATAAGAGATATTGTACAGCTTCTAAAACAACTGTAAGTTGGAAAACTTCTAATGCGCGGTCTACATAAATCACCCTGTATACTGAGACATTCTCTGGTTCAATAGAAGGCGATTTGGCCAAACTAAAAAAAAAACAAACCAAACCAAACAAGCCAACAAAAATCGCTTTGAAAAGCCGGGCTAAAAATAAACACTTTTTCGATAATAGAAGAAACTGCACTCTATATGCCATGAAAGTTGCAAACTCATAGCGTAGTTTTTGGAGTTTTGGCAATTTCTAGAAATATACTTGAAATAACCCAATTTCTCTTTCATGTTCAGACACTTTCAAAAAATCGTTAGGCAAAAACCAATGACAAAAACTGTTTATACGGCAGTTAATAGAAGATAATTCTCTCTATTTGCCTTTAAAGTTGCAATTCTCCAACGCATTTTTGGACTTTTGGCGAATTTTTGAAATTGTCTTGGAAAAATCTTGTTTTTTTTAAATTACAAGTCACTTTAAAAAACTAGACCAAACAGAGAAATATTTTAACCAGTGATTCACAGAAAATACTACAACTTTATATGTTCTGAAAGCTGCAAATGTATAACACAGTTTTTGGACTGTTGATCAATTTTTAAAATCGAATTAGATTTCCCGGTGCCTCTTTTAGGTCATGAGAAATTTTCAAAAAATGGTTTTGCAAAAACTATACCAAAGAGGCAAATATTTTATACAGCATATTAATAGGAAACATTTCATTCTATTTTCGATCGGAAAGTTGCGAATTAATAGCTTTGTTTTTGAGCTTTTGCAGAAGTTTGGAAATCGATCAACAATAACCCGGTCTCTTTCGCGTTAAGAGCCATTTTCAGAAATCGTTTTGCAAAATGTATACGAAACAGGCAAATGTTTTATACAGCGACCAATAGGAAATAATTCTTTTAAAAGGCTCTAAAAGTTGGAAATTCATAACGTCGTACTTAAACTTTTCTACTATTTTACCTAAAGAAATAGTTCAAAAAATTGTTTTACAAAAACTGGGAGAAAGCGAGGAATCAATAGAAAACAGTTCACTTTATATGACCTGAAAATTGCAAGTTGCAAGTAACATAGTTTGTAGACTTTTGGTGATTTTTTTAAATCGACCGAGAATTATCCGATGTCCTTTCAAAAAATCGTTTTCTACAAACTACACTAAAGAGAGAAACAAGGATCAATAGAAAACACTTCACTCTATATGTTCAGAGAGTAGACAATTTCTAACGTCGTTTTTGGAATTTTAGCGAACTTTTTAAGTCGACTTGAAATTATCAGGGTTGTTGTTAAAAAATCGTTCTGCAAAAATTGGATTATAACATTGGACAAAAACGCGTTACACAGCAAACCATGGAAAAGACATGTCTTTAGATGCCCTTTAAACAGCCAAAGTAACAACTTTTTTATGTAGCAGTCAATAGAGGACTTTTCACGTTATATGGTGTAAAAGCTGCAAATTCACCCCATGATTTTTGGAGTTTTGTCGAATTATTTAAACTTACCCACGATTGCGCGGTGTTTTTTTTTAGAGATACGTTCAAACCACCTTGGCACAAAAACTGGATTCGAAAGAGAAGCTTTTCACACAGCAGTCAATAGAACATGCACTATTTTTTTGGCCCGATTAGTTTAGTTTCTTATTGTTTAAGCTGGATAACTTCTAATGCACGGTTCTGGTTCAAAAAAAGACGATCGGGGCAAACTTTTTATTATGTAAAGTGTTTGGTTCCCCGGCCATTGATGGTGAATGTTTTGCACACCTTTGTGCTTTAGTGCGCTGAGGATTACTGCTTGCCTTTTTATTTCGTTTCTTATAGATTATTGATTGGATGATTGCTGATTTAT